ACGTAAACAGCGTATGCTGTTCCGTGCCAGCTGCATCACGCCGGATCCGTTTCCTACGTTGTTGTGATTTGATCTGAACGAAAACAGCATATCCATGTGACGCAGCTGACACAGAACAACATACGCTGTTTACGTCCAGCGGACACTCTCCAAAATGGCGCTACAGGGTGACGCGGAGGAGACGAATTGTTGAATAAAGTCATTATTTTTTTATTATTTTCCGCACAAAAAGTATTCTCGTAGCTTCGTAAAATTACTGTTGAACCACTGAAGTCATATGGATTATTTTACAGATCTCTCTTGACTTTGGAACATTTCAGTTGTATTGCTGTCTATGCAGGGTCTGAGAGCTCTCAGATTCCATCAAAAATATCTTAATTTGTGGTCCGAAGATGAACGAAGGTCTTACGGGTTTGAAACGACATGAGGGTAATTAATAACAGAATTTTCATTTTTGGATGAACTATCCCTTTAAGAGAGAATATCAAGTAAAAAGGCAGTTTTTATGTATGTATGTATGTATGTATGGGTGTGTATATATATATTCTCCTGACACACACTACCTATTATGCTCACCAAGGCTGCATTTATTTAATCAAAAGTACAATAAAAATGGTAATATTGTGAATTTTTTTTTTTTTTTACAATGAATGATTTCTGAAGGATCATGTGACACTGAAGACTGGAGTAATGGTTGATGAAAATTCAGCTTTGCATCACAGGAATAAATTACATTTGAAAATATATTCAAATAGAAAACAATTATTTAAAATTGCAATAATATTTCACAATATTACCGTGTTTTACTATATTTTACATCATATAAATTCAGCCTTGCTGTCATTCACCTCAGAGCTGGTCAAATGTACAGCAGTCTGCTGCAGGTGGGCCGGTCTGGTCCTGATAGTTGATAATTAGGGGCAATAACACAGCAATCATTGCAGTTTCACTGTAGGGGGCTTCGCGTGCAACCAGCACTGTCATTCAAAGACAGAGGAGGAGACACAGCCACAGGTCTGAGGGAGAACCACACACACACACTTAAAAAATCCACTTTCGTAAGGTCTGACATTTTTTCAAAAAAGCTTTTTGTGATAATCCATGGTAAATGTGATATTAAAGCAGTAATGTTAAGCAAGTACATGGGTTTCATTTAATAAAAGCAACCTGATACTTCAGGAATACAATCAAGGATGGACGTGAAATGGCTCATGATATCTTCGTGTTGCTACCTGCATCGTGTTTTTATCAGATTTAGCTTTCCAGAAATAGCTCGCTCACAGGAAATGGAAAAGGTATTTTTGACTTCCATTATGGAAAGCCAAAGGAAATTAAAGCTTATTCCAAACCTCCGGCCTGTATATTTTAACAGTCCATTGGCTAAATGCATATATTAGCTCACAACATCTGGGTCTTTTAGTCGGGTAAGTGTTTGCTTTTATGCGTGTGTTCGTTTGTGCTTTTACGAAACAGAACAAGTGAGAGACGGCCTGCCATTATGCGTTCTGACGTTTTTGCACGTCAATGAAAAAAACAGATCATGCAAGCTAATTTGCTGGTTTTGCCAAACTATCTGCAACAGAAAACAGCAAACCAACCCACAATAGTGCTTCTGATCTAGGCTTTCATGATTACACAGACTATGATCTAATCTTCTTTCTGTTAAGACACAACAACAAGCGAACAAACATAAACTGCTTAAAGGAAAATAATTTCCCACAACAAACAAGATTATAAAATGTTGTCTTATCTATGATGTCACTTTGCTGGGTGAATCTGACAAAAAATAATTAAAAGGCAAAAGTAAGAAATTATATTTTGATATTAACATGACATTATTTTTAAGTTAAAAAAAACAAGCACATTTTCCCCAAATTACAGTAATGCATCTGGATGTTTTACTTTTAATTGTTTTTGTAGGCAAGTTCTCGTTCTCATTGTATCACAGTAAAGGTTGCATTCAAAATTACTGTAACATAATGTTTTAATTATATTCAGCATAAAATGAATGCAATAAATAATAAGATGTATAAATTCCATTATTAAATAACATGTAATTTTCATTAATTTGATAAGAATATAATTGTTTTTTCATGTACTAGAAATAACAATAGTTCAACCAGTTCTCAAAGTAAAACTATTTTATAAAGGGGCCAATTTTGTATACATTTGTACAATGGGATTCATACAAAAATATAACTGACTAAACAAATAGACATTATAAAGACTGAAAGATAATAGGCGTCCCAATTCAGAGGTTGCATCCTTCGAAGGCTGCATTCGAAGACCTAATGCACCACAGCAGCCGACGAAGGTTGTCCCAGTTTGCGGTCTTGAAATGTGTCCTTTGTTTCCTGGGCCATGAAGGATACAGGAAGGCTATCCCAAGATCCATTGCATGCAGTAACAATATGAATTTTTTTTTTCTGAGAGAAAATGTTGGACTTTTAAATCTAAGTATTGGGTTTCAACAGAATTAATAAATACCTAACATTACAAAAAACACTTTAAAGCGGTTTAAATGTTGACTTTAATCTTACTACGGAGAAGTTTACACGACAATGTGCTAAAAAGGTAAACATTTTTCCTGTGCGTTTTTCCTGTACAGACGACAAAGTTCTCTGTTCTCTCAAATTCTCGAAAATGACTTTAATAGCCATATTATGCATGCTAGGCCTAGTTGCTGATGTCATGTAAACACTATGCGTACACATAAAACCGATGCGCATGACATTTTCACAAATTTGTGTTTTTGTAGAAGATAGGTTACAGCCTACTCTGAAACCCGTTTTCGTTTTCAGACCCCCAAAGTCATGCAAGTGAATGGCCAAAATGCATAAGAAGTTTTCCGTTTTAAGTTGAAAACGGTGTAGTGTAAATGCGATTTGAGGGGCAACACCTCACAGCCCAGTTATCATCCACGCTTAATTTAAAAGGGTCATAGGATGCCCATTTTCCACAAGTTGATATGATTCTTTAGAGTCTTAATGAAAAGTCTGTAACATAGCTTGGACTTTGGGGAAGTCATGGTCTAATGGTTAGAGAGTCGGACTTGTAACCCAAAGGTTGTGGGTACCGGCAGGAATTGTAGGTGGGGGGAGTGAATGTACAGCGCTCTCTCCCACCTTCAATACCACGACTGAGGTGCCCTTGAGCAAGGCACCGAACCCCCAACTGCTCCCCGGGCGCCGCAGCAATAAAATGGCTGCCCACTGCTCCGGGTGTGTGTGTGTGTGTTTTCACTGCTGTGTGTGTGCACTTTGGATGGGTTAAATGCAGAGCACTAATTCCGAGTATGGGTCACCATACTTGGCCACATGTCACTTCACTTCACTTAAAATTTCTCAATAGTAGTGTAAAAAACACCTTTTTTACCCTGTCAAAAACAGTTATTTTCAGATCAAGCCGTTTTTGTAGCATTTTCCTTTAAATGTTAATGAGCTCTGCTGACTCCGCCCCTCTCTTCCGAGCTGCTCTCAGAGAGACTGTTTACTTTAGCCACATTCATCGTGAAACTTGCTAATTAGCACATTATTATTAAAGGCGATTTGCAAAGACTCATTACAAAACATTATACTCACTTTTTCTGTAGATTAGGCTGGATCATGAATGATTTGCGCGAACATAGACGTATTTATGTAGATCGGGGGCGCATTCCCTTCAGAAACAAACATAATCCACTGCATCTTCAGCGGCTCAGATGTCGGGAGTAAATGACGATTGCTATGTTCATTATTACATCCAACAACAGAACACCTCAATCGCTTAGGAGTCATTCTTGTCTACATCTGCTCCGGGGGTGAAACAATGGCGGACTGATGACAGCTCACTCAGGGCGGAGCTAAGATAAGACACCAGTCCAGTCTGTGCTGAAACGCTACTGTCAATCAAACTATCGTGGGAGGGGCCTGTCTGTGTGACATCACACAGACAGGCATCTGAGATCGGCTCGATTTGAGAAAGGGGAAAACATTTAACCAGATTTAAAAAAAAACCACTGGGTGGATTTTTATCATTATAGGGTGGTTGTGTACACACACATTTCAGTTCAATACAACTTGTAAAAGTGCATGTAGCATCCTATGACCCCTTTAAAATGTCGCCTTGTTTCTCTGTTAAAAACGGGAATGTTATTGAATGTTGCGCATTTTGGAAGCACCTGAGCGCTGCGTGCCAGGTAAATCTTGATGAGAATTTAAGCTTGAATTAAAATAATAAGATAAATTAAACTTTTCATAGCGTGTCTCAAAACCTTACTTAATTTTTTTTTCGTTGCTTGTTTTCACCACCTTGTGTTTCATGTTTTTAAACGCAAAAACGTGCTTAATTGGGCTCAAACGAACATCCTTTAGCCTACATGCGTCACTTGGTGTTGCTAAAACAGTTGATGAGTAAGTAGACGTGATATTCTCTCTATATAAAATGACCGCGTAATCAGCAACAGCTTTGACGCATAAAAACATCACCGTAAAGCAGCAGGCAGATAGGCTACCGTAAATGGAAAGTGGCTCTCCTCTAATAATTTCACAAGCATGACATCATCCCCAAACCCTTTCTAGATCCCTCGGCCGTGCCTCAGAGAGCAGCCCATTCGCCTAATGGCTAGCGAAAGCCCATAATGCCTGTCACTGAAGGAGACCGCATGTTGAGAGACAGAGCTGGTCTTAAAGAGTCTAATGTTACCTTTTGACAGCAATTTGCCGATATCTACCTTTTAAAGAGGCTCTGGGGAACCACAAAGATGCCAGGCACCTTCTCGTTCACGCGCGCTCAAGCACGGTGTCTAATCTCTGAGAGCGCGCTCCATCGCCAGATAAACTAATTAAAGTCAAACTCCCTCTTGGGTTTTTGGATTAAAGCTCATTCTGTTCTGGAGAAGAAGATTAAGACCTTCTGCTATAGCAGCGGGTTTACCACTTCAACACGGACGCAATATTTCACAACAAAAACACAAAAATGCAAATTGCTTTTTCATGATTTAACAGGTAGGCCTATATTAATGCTCAGTCGGTAAATGTAATAATTGACATTACGTTATGTTAAAATAATATTCCGGGGAAAACTCAATCGCCAGGACTTGTGGCATATTGTTGAAAAAAAAGTAGCCTAAACATGTCAGATAATAGCATCAATTTTAATTTCACATTGACTTCAAGATCTTCAAGGACTCGAGATAAGAGGAAGATCTTCTCCCATCTCTATATCATCATATTTATTGTGAGGATATGAAAGGCATAGATGATCATAAAACAATGTTTTGATGTCAGAGAGCCAGTGACAACAGTTTCCCACTTCATTTTGGCTGATTGTTTGATTTCTTAGATGAGAACTGCACAAAAAATGCAGTAAAACACAAACAAACAGAAAAAAACACAACCTTCCACTGTGGTAACAAACCAAACACTAACACCACATGCATACATTGTCGATATAAAAAAAAAAGCCAAAAATATTCCGAGATGTCAGTTCGCAAGATGTGACTTCATGAAAGACGGATGAAGACTTAGTCTTGATTGTTTGTGATAATTGTACTTGTGAATTATTGATGAAACACAAGTTGATTAGGTTCCTCAACCTCTAAAAGAGGTTGTCAATATCGGTACCCTTTATGCACAAGGCAGTGATTCATACCAGACGTTGAGTACAACACAATGGAGACCTGAAATGCGGCTCAGAGGCTAAGCCTTATGGGTATCGGCGTTCCTGAGGCGTGCTTGGAGTCAGGAGTGCTTGCGGAAAGTGAAAATGTCTCGTGTCTTGGAGCCCCTCTTGCCCTTGCTGGGCTGGTTGGGGCTGGGTAAAGGTGGGCTCTCGGGGGTGGCGGTGCCTCCATAGGGGCAGCTCTGAGAGTCGGGATGCTCTCCGGAACATTCTATGGCCGGGATGTAACGGCTGTCCCACATTCCTGGCCCGCACAGTTTACACAGGTCGTGCAAGCTGCAGGGAATTCTGGGAAGAAGGCGGAACTGATAGAGCAGGCTACGTGCCTAGGATTAGAGACAATGAGAGAAAGAGAGATGGACTGAGAACTGGAAAAAATAACAGGCAAAAACACTGCTAGAATATTATATTTTATTACATTTCATATCGAGCTTTTTCATTATTTAACAAAAGCATTCCTGTAGCTAACAGTAGAAAATGCCAATGCCAAGGTCATGGGTTTGCTTCCCAGGAAATGCATGAACTCACAAAATATGTATACCTTGATGCAATGCGAGTTGTATGAAAGTGTCTGCCAAATGCATGAATGTAAATAAATAAACAGTGCAAATTAAATAAAAAGATTGCTTAATAGATAAATAGTGCAAAACTGGTTTAAATAAAACAAAAATAAGTAAATATAAAGTGTAATTAAAATAATTGTAATAATGTAAATACAATAAATCAAACTAAATAGTGAAAAGTAAATATAGTGCAAATTAAATAAATTAATTATAAAACAGTGCAAAATAAATCAATACATACTGCGATAAATAAATATTCAATCTACATATCAAGAGACAAATGAGGTAACTTATTCAGTAATAATTCAGTATCTCATAAAAAAAAAATAACTCACCTAAAAATGTGTAATTGATCATAATTTACCATTACCATATTTCTTTTTACATTACTAATATTATTGCCATATTTCTTTTTCCCCTCTGTGGAACACAAAAATATATATTTTTTATTTGCTCCTAGAGATTAAAAAAAAAAAAAATGCGTAGCTTCACACTGACAGTTCTCATGGACTTTACATTATTATTAGACATTCTTTGATTCAATCAGTAAATTAATGAATAAAACGAATGAACAAATAAATACATATCAAGAAACGCTGAAATCTCGAAGAAAGCAGCCAGAATTTCTTTTCCGAAAATTCACTCTTTTGTGTTCTACTGAAAAAGATTTTTATTTAAATGATGTATATATATTTGTATTGAAATTATTTACATTATATTATGTTATTTATTGATATAGATAATTATCAAATTAGTTTTGGCCGCACAATTTATTGAACATATAATCACAGTTGGTCTATAAAGTCAGCTTGACCAAAACAGGGTGCGTTTGTTTCTATCATAATCTCTACAGTACAATTCGGATTTTGAGAAATATTTCTCCAGAGATGACAGCATGTTTGGCATACTAACTTTTGTTGCTGTAAGAAAAATATGTTTTGTATGCAGCGCTAGAGAGATGCATCACTTCTGGATGACACAAAGACACAGCATACATAACCATGAGGAGCTCTGTCAGCGGTGTGTGTGTGTGCTCATACCTTCCTCAGCACCAGCTCTCCATTCATGTGCATGGAGAGGTTACTAAAGTGCAGCAGCATTTGATCTGTAGCGAGCTGCTGCTCTGTGACATCATCGCCGTACAGCACGATGATGGCGACACACAGGAACAGGTGGAAGTAGTCCGTCTGTCACAGAACATACACATCCACACAGAAAACACACTGAGCCAAAACAGCCAATAAAATGACCAATCGTGAAGGCCAAATGCATACAGAGCCAATTAAAAAGCAGTAAATGTTGATATGCAAATGAGGGGGCAACGAAGAGACAAACCACTTTGCTCCCCAAAATCACCTCGTTATTACCATGCCAATGTATGCAAATAGATTCTGTGGAAACCTGATAATTAGCATCTCATCTTCATTAGACACTCTGCAGATCCTTAAAGTGATACAGACACCCATTCGTTTATCTAAATGGGGAAAAATTAGCATCTATCCAGCGAAAGTGCATTTAAGGAACAACTTAGTTTTGGTTTCCATGGCTTCAGAGATTTCTACATCTTACATCGGTTTGAACTTTCACCCGAAATTCTAGTTAGAACACTAAATACGTAAAAAAAAAAGAATAAAAAGGAAGTCAAAAAGAGAAATGAACTTCTGCAGTCATAAACCCAGTCGGTTTCCAGTTCTTTTCAAAGGAGAAACCAACAATAACCACACAACATTTAACCTATGAAGGCTTTTCAAAAACATGCATCTGAATGTAAGATTCAACTGTAATGAATCCGCGTGTGAGCAAATGAATGACTAAATCAATAAATATTAATAAACACTAAAACAGAATATTTTCCAAAAACTCACTTTTTGTGTTCCACTGAAGGAAAACTTTCAAAAAAAATCATTTCCCCCAAGGAAACGTTATGAAGAATAAGTTGAAACGAGGCATCTGTAATGTTTTGCATCGTATGTCATTATTTTCCAGCAAAAGTGTTTATGAATAAAGCTGTCATGGAGTTTCATTTTCATTTATAATAATAATAATACAAATTAAAAGGCCAATAATTTACTGTAAAGAATAAAAAACATAAATACTATATATATTTTTTAATCAATTCAATATTACATAAATAATTCATATTAATTCAATTCAAATGTAGCTGTGTATTAGTGTTTATATATTCAAAACAGAAATCATTACATTTCTAAAAATGTCTTCACCATCACTTTTAATCCATTTAATACATCCTTGCTGAATAAAAGTATCCTTTTTTTTTTTTTTTTACTCACCCCAAATATTTGAATAGTAGTGTATATTGTAACACAAAAATTCTATTTTGAATAAACACTGTTCTTTTTAACTTATTTATCAAAGAACCCTGAAAAAAGCATCACAGGTCCCAAAAAATATTAAGCAGCACAACTGTTTCCAACATTGATTATAAATCAGTATATTAGAATGATTTCTGAAGGATCATGTGACACTGAAGACTGGAGTAATGATGCTGGAAATTCAGCTTTGCATCACAGGAATAAATTACATTTTAAAGTATATTCAAATAGAAAACTGTTATTTTAAATTGCAATAATATTTCACAAAATTACAGTTTTTTTCCTGATCAAATAAATGCAGCCTTGATGAGCATAAGGAACTTCTTTAAAAATCTTACTGACCCCATCTTACTGACCACAGCTAAAAATAAAAATGAGCACATTTACAGGGCAACTAAAAACTGAATCAACAGCTTAACCTACAAAAACAATTAACAGTTACAGATCAGGATGAATGTCAGTATTACTATTGGTACAAAACATCCCAAGAAGCATATGTTTTATGTACAAAGCCTTTTATGGCAACAATATTAGCTTATGGTGCATCGTAACTAATACCCGAGTCATATTTGCTGAACAACTACCTCATGCAGAAGCTCCAGATTGAACCTGATATCAAGCCCAGTGAGCGTGTTGTACCTGATAATGTGCCCAGCAGGCCTCCCACATGCGCAGGGCTTCAGCATCAGGGAACTCGCGCTTGAAACACAGAAGAACCCAGCGGTGGCAAAACAGCAACTGAAGGCCGTCCTCACCCAGCCGGGTCAGATGCTGGTGGAAGCGAGGAAGCATCAGCCGCAGGAGCTCACGCAGGTACATCTGGACACACACGTACACATAACTAGAGCAAAATATTAACGACAACATTTACTCTGCATTTACTCCATGAGGAGATCTCCTCACCAGCTGCCTCTCCATGTCCTCATCTCTGGGAGAGCTGATGAAGATGGTGTTCTCCATGAGACCCACGAAGCACCAGAACGTGTCGCTCTCGTCCTGGATCTCGGTCAGAAGAGGAGCCACCAGGTCTGACATGCCCTGACAGTAGCCCATGTCTGGGTTAAACACGGCGTAGTTCAACAGGATACGTCTGGGAGACAAATGGACAACTGTAACTTTGGAAAACCTTATAAATAATTCATCGTGTAAAAAAAAAACACAGGCTTTTTGCTGAATGAATTCATATTTTGTATTATTAATGGAATGGCGCAGATTTATTACATAATACACTGAAATAGCCATAACCAAAGGAGAAAATACTCATCTATAACCACAGTGGCCTCAAATGGTATTTGAATAAACTTAAAAATGTATGAATGTCAATTCAATTAGATAATAATAATAATAATAATAATAATAATAATAATAAGGAACTCCCAAGGACTCTGGTTGAGTCCCGGATGATAACCGAGAGAATCTTGAGATAAATAAAATAAAGAAATTAATTATAATAATAATAATAATAATAATAAGTATTGTTACTTTTAATTAAAAGTAATATTTACAATAATATTACTATTATATATTTATTATAATATACTATCATATATTATAATATAATGGACATTTTAAGTGTGACCTAGCAGCTTCAATTTTTTTTTAATTTTCTGTTTTTTTTCCAGATAATAATAATTAATAAGAATAATTAATTGCTTTAATATTAGTAAAAAAACAAATTATTATTATTATTAATTACTATCATAAAATTCAAATAGTTAATAAACTCCCAAGGACTCTGGTTGAGTCCCGGATGATAACCGAGAGAATCTTGAGATAAATAAAATAAAGAAATTAATTATAATAATAATAATAATAATAATAAGTATTGTTACTTTTAATTAAAAGTAATATTTACAATAATATTACTATTATATATTTATTATAATATACTATCATATATTATAATATAATGGACATTTTAAGTGTGACCTAGCAGCTTCAATTTTTTTTTAATTTTCTGTTTTTTTTCCAGATAATAATAATTAATAAGAATAATTAATTGCTTTAATATTAGTAAAAAAAACAAATTATTATTATTATTATTAATTACTATCATAAAATTCAAATAGTTAATAAAATTCATATTTACAACAAAAGATAATACAATATATAATATGATGACATTTTAAAAATGACATAGAAGCTTAAATTTGCATTCTTTTTCAAATAAAAATAATAATTCAATATTATAGTAAAATATTATTATTAAAAGTATAAATTAAAATAATTTATCAAGTCAAATAATATAATAAATATACTATAATATAATATAATGACATTTTAAAAATGCCCTAGCAAATGAAAATTTCATTATTTTTCAAATAAAAATAATAATTCAATAATGTTATAATAAAAATATATTATTAAAAGTATAAATTAAAATAATTATTAAATCAAATAATATAATATAATATAATATAATATATAACATTTTAAGTATGATGTGGCAGCTTCAGCTTTGTAAAATCCTATGAAATTGTTTTTTTCAAATGCAAGCAGATATTTCTATGGAAAGAATGAAATATTTCTGGTTGAGTGTCAAGTCAAGTCAAGTCAAGTCACCTTTATTTATATAGCGCTTTTAACAATACAGATTGTGACAAAGCAACTGAACAGCATTAATTAGGAAAATAGTGTGTCAATAATGCAAAATGACAATAGTAAACACTCATTTTTCAGTTAAAGACAGTTCATCATTGAATTCAGTGATGTCAACATCCAGCTCAGTTCAGTTTAAATAATATCTTTGCAATCATGTCAACAATATCGCTGGAAATGAAGTGTCCCCAACTAAGCAAGCCAGAGGCGACAATGATGGCCAGATGAGTGTCAATGATTATGTTTCTCTAACCTCATGATTTCTACATTGGGGTTGTTCTCTCCTCTAAAGAACATGTTGCTTCGGTCAGTTCTGACAACATCTTTATCAACAGTGAACTGCACCTTCCTCCAGAACTCACTGTGCTCCTCTGGACTCATGGACAACCTGTGGAGGGAAATGGAGAAGCGGGAAAGATCAACCGCTACGAAAAAGATAAAGAGAGGTAAAGAGAGGGGGCAGCTATGACAAGTCAAGACAAGAAGCACATAACAGAACAAAAAATACAATAACATGAAATCAAATAACGAACAAAAATAAATAAAAAGAACATAACAGAACAAAAAACAAACAAAAAAAAACGACAAAAAAATATGAATGCAAAAAAAAGAAAAAAAACGCAATTAGAAAAAAAGAAAAGACAGTGGAAGAAAGAACAGAACATGAAGCACCAGGTCTGAGGTGGTAACATTCCCAGTCCCTCTGGCTATAGACATTCTCATAACAAGCAGGATTTCATTAACACTGTTTGTTTTGCTGGAATTGATGCCAGACCTGATGCAACCTCATGTAAGTGTTTCGAGACCTGTGTTTGTGTGAACTGTTCCCACATGGCTCTCTGACTCCCCCTCTGGCCCCTCGAGGTTTAGAGCGCTCACTGCTCAGCAACACCCTTCACACACACAAACACTATCAACCTATTCATTACTAAAACACCAACTAAACAATCGCTGCAAGAGCGCTGACATTATATCCATAAAATACACTCATTCATTCACTCACTCACTAAGAACACTGAAATACCACACATACTTTTATAGTAAGTTTATAGCATACAGTACAAGTTTTGACTACATAAAATATATATGGTATAAAACGTATACTATTTTTATTTTTCCCCATATAGTTTTATTACATAAATCATAATAATTATAATCACAATATACAGTATATATTCAAATAATTTTTTTAAACATTTTTTTTGTAATCTTATTTTCTTTACTGTGGTAAAATTCATGTCTATTCACACACACACATACACACACACACACACACACACACACACACACACACGTTGGCTATTATTAAAATAACAAATATAATCGCAAAGTCTTGACATTACTGTAATAAAATACATTGATATACTATACATATTTTTTCTTTCCCCACATTTTCTATGTAAATATTTTAAAATCTTAAATTTTTTAACTATATTTTTTACATATATTTTTTTGTAATTTTAATTTCTTCACTGTGTTTCATCTCTCTCCTTCACTGTCTCTATATAGAACTGAATTTGACCACAGTGACGAAATAATTTGTTTTGTAATATTAATAATTAATAATAATGTTAATAACAACAATAATCATTTTATGCACATCTGTATCAATAAGAGGTTGTTTTGTGTCAATTTTGTGATTGACTACTAGCTAAAAATAATACATTTAATTTAGTTAGTGATTTACTGATTGTTTTTATTTTTAATTTGACAATGTAATGCATTTTAAAAGCACTGCAGTGTGTGTACTGCAGTGGCATTAGAAATAAAGAATGAAAATATGCTCAAATCTGAAACACAAGCAGTAGGCTTCATAAGTGCTCTATCAATGACAATGATTTAATTGATTAAGTTAATTATTTCCTCTGAAACTAAGCCGCAGAGCGCATATATCTGCACACATTTATTGATTGGTTATGACTCGGCTGCTAGAAAATCCTTCAGAGACTCACAGTGAGTAAAAAGACAGTACAGCCATGCAAGTAATAATCATTTTCAAATGGTCATGCGATAAATATAGCTCTACCTACAGAGTAGGAAAAATGGACCTTTGTTGCCAAGACACATTTGAACAATTCTGGTTGCTGAAATAACAAAACGGACTATCTGCAGTCAAAACGTGCTTAGCCAGACCTTTTTTATAAAATTGAGGCAGAGATATGACTGAAAACAACAGCAAGCGGTTAAAGTGGTTAAAGGTGTATTTAGCCACTGCTACATTGACTTCATGTAATGATCCTGAGGCTCCGAGTGATTCACCAACCACAAACCCAAACACCATCTAGCTAACTAGAAAAGCTGGAGGACCAGCTAGCCTGATGTTTCACAACAGCTCGGTTTACATAGCAAATCTCCAGTTTCAGACTCCAGAAATATCCCATTTAGTAAACAACAGGTTATGTCAACCAGCCAATTCAAACAAAAGTGAGCAATCTAACAACTGGGTGTAGCTTCGTGTTTTTATCATGCCATCAACAGAAGCGAGAGGAGCAATGACAAGTCACAGCTCTCTTATATTAGCAGTAACAATGGTAACATCAGTGAAACCTACATGGATGAGGCAATGAAATTCATCTTGGCAATGAAATTACTAATTCAAATGTTAAACAAAAAACATAGGTTTCATTATACGTTTACAGGTTTCATTATCATTTAAAGATTATAATAAAATCCTTTTAATTTATACATGCCTTTGACAAAAGATATGCAAAAAAATATGCATTAATCACCAGTATGGTCAATTCTTGAGTATACTGCAATACTTTACAATTTAAATTCAACCACATTTAAAACAATTCACAACACGTGTTATTTACTTGGAGATCTTTTTTTATAAATAATGTTTTAACTGCCAAATTATGAAAGCTTGTTTGTGTCGCACCTTTTTGTCAATTTTATTTTGCACCCAACAAATAATGCAGCAATTATTTATATTTCTTTTTTATAATATGTGCAGAATAAAGAGCATTAATATGGATTAATATATGCATTTTTGGAACTGGTTGATCATAGGCCTCATTGATCGGAGCTTATGCGCCACAGTTTTTGAGTGAAAAAGGCATTATTTGTGGATCATTTTGGTAAAGTAATGTTCACTCAAAAACTGAGGTGCATCAGCTCAGATCACTTATGACCAATCAGAGCAAAAAAAATGTAAAATGCAAAACCTGTGCCAACTGAAAGAAAAGTTGACAAAAAGATATTATTGCCTAGAATATACATTTTATAATAATTTAAAAGCAATTTTTTTGTATGCGAGTCATTTTTTGACCAGGGCTGCATTTCCCAAAAGCATCGTAAGCCTAATGCCGGGTTCAGACTATTTCAGAGAATATTTTTGTCGGTTACGATAGTCACTGTGTCAGATTTCACGATTTTGACTCCTAAAATCTTTTCGTATCGTGGACAAGAAACATGTCAGACTACACGTTGCTTCTCGACCAATCATTGCGTGCCGTCTTGAACAACGAGTCATCGAGAAGGCGGAACTAGCGACTGACTTCCGAAAACAAGAGTGTAAACATTGCTGAAGCGCTTCCACTATAGTTCGCCAGCATTTTTCTTTCTTTGTTCTGTCGTGGTAGTCCCTCGATGACACATCATACAGCCAGGAGTACTGTTGCCACAGCTCCACGAACCTTTCCTCCATCTCATTCCACCTAGCAGCACCATCATCTCTTTCGTTTCGCCATGTTTGAAACCTGTGTATGAAAGAGCTTCTGTGCTGCTATTGGTCAACATCAATGTGAAAGAACTCGTCGTGGACGACGGAAAAATTAAACATGCTAGTCTTTCTGTCGTGATGTTGTGAAGCATCGCAGACGCGGAATCGGTTGTCGTCCACTATGACACACTACACGTGCTGAAACGATGGAATCTTGTGTCTCGATGCCCATTGTCGTTTACGAATCCCCACGACACCCTACATCAAGCAAATCGCTTCTGTGCTGCTATTGGTCAACATCAATGTGAAAGAACTCGTCGTGGACGACGGAAAAATTAAACATGCTAGTCTTTCTGTCGTGATGTTGTGAAGCATCGCAGACGTGGAATCGGTTGTCGTCCACTAAGACACATTACACGTGCTGAAACGATGGAATCTTGCATCCCGACGTAGTTTACGAATCCCCACGACACCCTACGTCAAGCAAATCGTGGCAAAATCAGGCTAAAATCGTGTAGTCTGAACCGGGCATAAGTAGATGATCGTAGAACCACTGTCATCAATGGAGCTACGATCAACTTAAAGGGTTAGTTCATCCCAAAAGGAAAATTCTGTCATTAATTACTCACCCTCATGTCGTTTCAAACCCGTAAGATATTCGTTCATCTTCAGAACACAGATTAAGATATTTTTGATGGAATCCAAGAGCTCTCTGACCCTCCATAGACAGCAATACAACTGTAATGTTCCCAGACAGAGACGTAGCAAGGACATCGGTAAAACTGTCCATGTGACATCAGTGGCTCAACTTCAATTTTGCGAAGCTACGAGAATACATTTTGTGCGCAAAGAAAACAAAAATAACGACTTTATTCAACAATTCTTCTCCCCCCCCCGAGTTACATCTTCAGCCATTTTGGAGAGTATCACAACGCATACGCACTCTTTACCGTAAGCGTAAACAACGCTGATTATGCAGATTACGTTCATGCGCGTGCATGCTTTCTCCCCCGAACATAAACAACACCGATTACGTTTTGGGTACTCTCCAGAATAGCAGAAGACGTAACTCTGGGGAGAAGAATTGTTAAATAAATTGTTATTTTTGTTTTCTTTGCACACAAAAAGTATTCTCGTAGCTTCGCAAAATTGAAGTTGAGCCACTGATGTCACATGGAATGTTTTACCGATGTCCTTGCTACGTCTCTGTCTGGGAACATTACAGTTGCGTTGCTGTCTATGGAGGGTCAGATAGCTCTCAGATTCCATCAAAAATATCTTAATTTGTGTTCCGAAGATGAACGAAGGTCTTCCGGGTTTGAAACGACATGAGGGTGAGTAATTAATGACAGAATTTTCATTTTGGGGTGAACTAACCCTTTAAGCATACGATGATTTTGAGAAACGCAGCCCAGGAATGTAAAATAAATAAATAAATAAAAAGTAAAAAAAACTATCAATTTTTTGTTGTTATACCCTGTGTGAGGTAAATTCAGAAAGGTTTAGTCCAACATTTTTGGGAAAAAGAAAATCCTCCTGGGCCAAAATGACTGGAACATTAAAAGTTAAAATTGAAATGAATGCAAAAGACGACAACTACAACTAAAGCAAAACAAATTTAAAATGTGTAACACTGGTTTTTCTCATTTTATTTGCAGAATATTCAAATGTAACAGGGAAATCATGGCAGACTGCTATGGTTGAAGGAAAATGGGTGTGGAACTGGCTTCTAGTTCAGCACTAGTCTCTCCACTAACCTCCTCTGCTGGATCTCCTGGTACTCCACACGCTTCTGCAGTCTCCAGGCTTCCCGCTCCTCAGACGTGGAGTCGTAGCTGTAGTAGTGCAGCAGGAAGGGCCACACTTCACCACGGATGGATGGGTCAACGCCCCCGAAGAAGATCGCCTGAGAGAACAAAGACATTGGGTCAGCTCTCTGAATAAATCACATCATAACAAAACCTCTATGACCTTGATGCACATTTCAGACAAATATTGCTACAATAAGAGCCATAATGCCATTCAGATATAAAGCACTGAAAAGACCAACTTCAACAAGCAATGCTGATTCTTAATTTAATTGAGTCAGGCTGACCTTCCTGAGCTTGTACTCCTCCACCACCTGTCCGTTGTTATTGAGATGCCGGAGCCAAGAGCTGACGTCCAGCCGCCGATACAGACGCTCCTCTGGATGCATCTCAGCAGATGGTAACGTGGGTCTACGGATAGAAAACTGCATCCATGACTTCTCATCCGACACCTGGAGTGGGAAGAGGGTGATACAGGACAGGAAAAAACGGCATGAACAATACAGTCTATATGAATAACACGGACATATAAACACACTTTTAACTAAATATCTTATGTTAAAGACAACAAGAATTCAAAACGGAGCCTATTAACTTTCTGAATCAATGTCCCTTGCCTAATTCATGTTATTCTAATGAAAAAAAAAAAAAGTTTCTCCATCAGTGGAAAGACTTTGCTTTTCTGCTCACATAAATAGGGTTGTGTATGCTTAATAATTAAAGTTAAGTTAATATGTAATACTAAACTATGTAAATATGTAATATGCTCAGTTAATAAATATTAATATAATAATATATATTATTAATTTTAATAAATAAAACAATTTTCTATTGATTAAAATCTATTTATGATACAATCTAATGCTGACCGATAAAATGAATACAAATATTATATTTTATAGAAATTTAATGTGTTGGACCATATGTGATTTTTGTGTTTATTATTAAATTTGTAATATAATTAATTATATTAAAATGTTCTTATTTAATGCTATTTAATTTAAGAAACCAACGGCTGGCAAGAAATACTACCATTCAAATATTTGGGATCAGTTATTCAGCAGGGGTGCATGACAGAGGGCTTTTAATTGATATTGATAAAAATAAAAAAAGGTAAATCGCGACTTTTTATTAGAGGTTGACCGATTTTAGCGGATTTTACCAATACCGATTGCTAGTTTGGACCACACTGGACAGTTTTTAAAATGGATACTGAACAAAAATCTAAATAGTGCTTTAATATTTATAAAAAAATAAATAAAAAAAACAGTACTGAACCATGGTGAACGTGATTTCCCCAAGTACAACCTGTTCCTGGATCAACATCCCAATCAAACAATCAGAATAGGGCTATGTTTTTGGACAGTAATATCGTTCAACAAAAGACTTGGCAAAAATCACGGCGACCTAAATATCTAAACAAAGGCCATAGCACTAAAATGACATACATATGGGTATTGCGTGTATACTCACACACTTTAACTGCTTCTATTCTAGAACACTTGATGATTGTCTAATCAAGATAACAAAATACGGCAGTCACACATCGGGCACAAGCACAGCGCTTAGAGGGCTTTTAATTGATATTGATAAAAATAAAAAAAGGTAAATCGCGACTTTTTATTAGAGGTTGACCGATTTTAGCGGATTTTACCAATACCGATTGCTAGTTTGGACCACACTGGACAGCTTTTAAAATGGATACTGAACAAAAATCTAAATAGTGCTTTAATATTTATAAAAAAAAACAAAAAAAAAAACAGTACTGAACCATGGTGAACGTGATTTCCCCAAGTACAACCTGTTCCTGGATCAACATCCCAATCAAACAATCACAATAGGGCTATGTTTTTGGACAGTAATATCGTTCAACAAAAGACTTGGCAAAAATCACGGCGACCTAAGAGTGTGAGTGTGTGTGCCTTGCATATGATATAAATGTGTTCAACTGATGAATGGTGTTAAGACTCTCCAGACCTGGTCTTTGAGCTGCGTCTCCCTGCAGCATTTCCACTGCTGAAACACCTCGGCCAGTTTATCCAGCCCCGCGTGGTGGAAGTGAAGGATCTTGTACTGGCTCTCTCTGCTGGCGATGACCAGCTGGCCACAGGTGCAGGCCTCATCGCTGGAACACACACACACACATGAAACACAACACACTTTCACAAGGCTGGTCTGGACACAAGACCACATCCTGGAGATCAAGGGGAAAATGAACAGTGATACGAGTTCACTAAAAGATCAGGATGTGAGTAAGTTATGATGATTTCTTTATTGTTTGCACTGACTTTTTCTCAGTAATGCTATTTGTTATATTGTATTTCCTCTTCATAAAAGGACTATTAATGCATATTTTCCATAAACCACAGAAACATTCGATTTTTATTCACACCACAGAAATATTTTAATAACTTGAACAAAATCAGCCTGAGGTTAAGGAATAATAATTTATATCTTGCAGCTATAGTCATAACAAAATTTCCTAAAATGAGAGCAGTAATGTAATATAAGGAGGTGAATTAAATATAAGAGGTGTTTCATAAAACAGAGACTTACGAAAAAGATTTAACGCAACAGTGTAAAAAGCCAGAGACTATTCAAACAGGGTGGCATGAGTTTCAAAAAGCACAGATAAATAGGAGAGATATTAAAAACAAATGAAAATAAAAACAAATCAAAATGTATGGATATTGAAATGGACTCTTGGACTCTTATAGGATCCCGTCTGACCTGAAGAAGAGACGCAGTGACCTCATGTGACCCAGGTCAACTCTGAACACCCCACATAGATGCTCTAATGCCATGACTTTCTGCTGCTCCTCCCAACGAACTCCCTGTGATTGGCCGCTTTCAGAGGGGGCGTGGCTGTCCAGACTGGAGGCGGAGCTTGCAGAGTGAGCCATGGGTTCATCGCACTCCCTGAAATGAATGGTATCGCTATTAATATTAATGTAATAAAAAGCAGACAAAAATCCTAAAATTGTGATAGATGAACACTGCTTGAGAGCTTAATTTTTTCTTTATTTTTCTATTTTCTGTAAAGCTGCTACGGAACAATGTGTATTCAGTTTGGTTCATATTTCTTTGTATAGTGCTTTTCACAATACATATTGTCTCAAAGCAGCTTTACAGAAAATGAATGTTTCTACATTACAATTAGGAGTGATCTGTTATCAGAGGTGACTGTACATATGGCAGAAATGTACAGATTATACAAATCATGGTTGTCACCTACATTACCTACATGGCTATTGGTTAACATAGGCATTAAAATATTAACCAAAAGGTTGTTACAGATATGAAATCAAAAGATAAGAGACAAACACTTTTTTATTTAAAATAACACTGAATAATAATTAGACCAGAAAAGTGTATTAAATATTAACTTAACATGATTATTTATCATTTCAAATAGCCTTTAAGAAACTACAAGAATGAAATAATAATTAAAAAATAATATATATTTCCAATTCTCGACATTAACAAACATTGACTACGACTTTTGCCTCAAACTCCTAATTTGCTGCTTATTAATTGTTAGTAAGGTAGTTGTTAAGTTTAGGTATTGGGTGGGATTAGGCTTATAGAATATGGTCATGCAGAATATGTGCTTTAAAAGTACTAATAAACAGCCAATATGATAATAATAGGCTAGTTATAATAACTAGTTATAGTGAGAATACTGGTTAATAACTAGTTAATAGTGAGAATTGGTCCCTATACAAAAGTGTTACAATATTTTCTACAAATAAAATGTAAAGTTAATGTAAAAATACAACTCAAAGCTATCAAGTTAATTAACTGCTCTACAACATGACAGCTTAATTCAGCTGCTCTCACTACTGTAAACCTGCACATCAATTCATTCGTTCTGCCCTGTGTGTTTAGTGTGAAACTCAGCGACAGCTGTAGGTATGGATACGCGCATGTGTGAGAGAGGACACTAGAAGTGAAGAGGAATGAGAGGAATGCTGGGAGGTTATTGTGCTGGCAGGAGCCGAGCAGAGAAACAAATCAAGCAGCTTGGCAGCCAATTTCCCCTGACAGCCCTCCTCTCTCTCGCTCTCTCTCTCTGTGAGCGTATCTCCCTATAACTGTCTCTCGACCTCTCATGTAGCCAGAGCTGTAACCTGAACCGTGGGACCTCTGCTTCTCTCTCACACTAGTCTTTTTCTCTAACAGAGCACATCTAACAGGCCAAAAGCACCTCCAGACACGTCCCCTGTCAAAGATCTACTGTGGGAGCCGAAGGTTTATGGGTCATGTGGTATTTGAGAGGTCTCTCGGAGTCCACACTATAGCAGGATCACACACATGAGGCCATATGGCGGGCTGAGGCCGTGACAGACAGCGCACGGTGCAAAGTTACATCTCATGTTCTTTACAGACCCTTGTTTTCTATTCTGTGAGCCTAACAGTGGCTTTACGAAACAGGAACAATAAGGTGACCAAACTGAACTAACCAACTAGATGGACAGCTAGAAGTTAGTTGGTTCATCGGTTAGATGGTTGGATGGATAGCCACATAGATGTTTATTACGAACTGAACTAACCAACTAGATGGATAAACTTAGTTGATTGATTTGTTAGTTAGTTAGGAACATAGATAAACGTATACCCATATATATGTTAGTTAAGAACAGGAGAAAATAAGGCAAATAAACTGAACTAACTGAACTAACCACATTGAAAAAAAATATTCATTGAGTTTACTAAATGTTTTAAGGTAAGTGGTTGCAATAAATTTATTTTAGCTACATTTAAATAAATTTAGTTGACTAACTTTCAACATGTTTTTTTAAAAAACATTTTTTTTAATGTAGCTAAAATAAATAGTTTGAAACCCCTTACCTTAAATTTAGTATCATTTTTTTCAGTGCAACTAGATGTACAGCTAGAAGTTAGTTGGTTCAGTGGTTAGATGGTTGGATGGATAGCCAAATTAAAAAATTATAGTAACTGAACTGAACTAACCAACTACATGGATAAAGTTGATTGGTTAATTAGATAGTTAGACACAGAGGCACAAATATGTTAGTGAGGAACAGGAGAAAGTAAGGTAAATGTACTTAACTAACCAACTAGATGGACAGATAGAAGTTAGTTGGTTGAATTGTTAGAGCAATAGTTCAATAGATGGACAGCCACATAAATGTAGCAACAGGAGAAACATGAGGAAAATGGTAACTATATTGAACCAACCAAATGGATAGACTTAAATTAGATTGGTTAATTAGTTGGATAGATTAATAACTACATAGATGTTTGCAGAGAGACGTTAGTTGGTTCAGTGGTTAGATGGTTGGATGGGTAGCCACACAGATGTTTGTTAGGAACAGGAAAAGTTATGGTAACTGAACTAACCAACTAGATGGATAAAGTTAGTTGAGTGATTGGTTAGTTAAATGGACAGGCACAAAGATGTTAGTTAGGAACAGGATAAACAATTGAAAGTAAGGTACATGTACAAAACTACAACTAGTTAACAACTAGATAAAGTTAGTTGGTTTACTGGTTTGTTAGCTAGAAAGATAGATAAATGTATACCCATATAGATGTTAGTTAAGAACAGAGGAAAATAAGGTAACTAAACTGAACTTACAAACTAGATGGACAGATAGACCGATAGAAATTAGTTGGTTGAATGGTTAGAAATTTCAGTTGATGGACAGCCACATAAATGTTAGTTAGGAACAGGAGAAACATCAGGAAATAAGGTAACTAAATTGAACCAACCAAATAGATGGGTAGAAATTAGTTGGTTTATTGGTTAATTAGTTGGATAGATGCATGAATAGCCACATAGATGTTTGCTAGGAACATGAGAAAAAAGATAAAATAAGGTGACTAAATTGAACTAACCAACTAGATGGACTGATAGAAGTTATTTGGTTGAACAAATGGATGGTTAGGCACAAAGATGTTAGTTAGGAACAGGAGAAATTAAGGTAACTAAACTGAACTAAGTTAATTGGTTGCTTAGTTAGTTAGATGGACAGATGGATGAACGGCCACATAGATGTTAGTAAGGAACAAGAGAAATGGGGGAAATAAGGGGACTAAACTGAACTAAGCAAATAGATGGACAGATACATGTTAGTTGGATAGATGGATAATCACATAAATGTTAGTTAGGAACAGAAGAAACACGAGGAAATACAGTAAATTGAACCAACCAAATGGATAGATAGAAATGAGTTGGTTTATTAGTATGGTATTTGTAAAGATGGTAATATACGTATAACCACATCAGTGTTACTTAGGAACAGGAGAAATATGAGAAAGTAAATGTAAATAAACTGATGGACAGATAGAAGTTAGTTGGATGAATGATTAGATAGCTGATGGATAACCAAATAATGTTAGTTAGGAACATGAGAAAATAAGGTAACTAAACTGAACTAACTAGATGGACCGAAGTCAGTTGGTTGATTGTTTAGTTAGATAGATTGATGGATAGCCACATTGAGGTTAGTTAGGGACAGGAGAACAATGACAAAACAATACAGACAGATAGATAGTTAGTTAGATTCAACTAATTAAATTTCTGTGTTGCCGGCCATCCATCTATCTGTGATTACATTTCTGACGTTCCAAAAGCGCCTCCTACTGGCATAGAATGAATGTTCATTTTCAATAATGCAGTCTGTAGTTTTTGTTCAATGCGAAAATCCACCCACATAACCCCATTTTAAATTAATATAATAATTTACACTTCTGACTCACCCCTGGTTTAAACGCTCAATTGTGAGGTTTATCATTTCATCATTTATTTTGTTTTTGTGAAAACCTGTATCTCAACTGTAAATCAGTTGCTATTTCATGGTCTACAACATGAAAGAAAGCAATTATAACATGTACATGAAAAATGTAGAAGCATTGGACACAACTATGGGGCACCATTGTGCAGCAGCAAGCATCACTACAAAAAAGGAACTTCAAGGTTGAGCTAGGAAAATGTGTGCAAATGTATAGGGCCCCATTCCTATATTTTGCCTGGGGCCCCCAATTCACTAAATCCGCCCCTGAGAGTTTGTACTAGTATGAGTTGAGACATTTTTCCAGGGACTGAACTCCCGCTGGAACAGACACTACCTCTCAGGGCCTGTTTATTACATCACACCGAAACAAATGCCCCAGAGCCAAAGCTGTCAAACACTGTTAACACATTACTATTACATCATCCTCAAGCAAAACAGTTTTTCCACCTCTGCCATCCACATGGTCTGCTTTCACCTCCAGCTTTGTATTTCTCTATTCACTCTAATGAAATGTAGACGCAGACATATTGAAAAGTAAGCACATTTCTCATACCAAGACGCCAGTCAGTCATAACAGAGAACATTTACATATTTCATATAATTCTTAAAAAGACACAGTGTGGAAATGGTCATTAAAAACACCAAAAAATCTACAAAGGTTAAAAATGTACTAAACCCTACATCGAGCCAAACCACGACAAGGGAGAAAAAGAAAAACGACATGAAGCAGGGAAAGAAAACATCTAGTAGGGAAAAGCACAAGAGTGAGAAAGCGAAGGAGGAAGAAAACTTCACAGGCAGAATAAAAGAGAAGTCAAACATAAACACTGAAGGATCCAAAGAGGAAGTGGAAGTCAGAAAATAAATGGCAAAAAGCTGGCCAAAGAGAGCGTTCTCCACCCAAAGGAACAGAGAGGAATGGAGCCGTTCATCACAGACTCAGTCAAACACAAACCACTGATATTTATGATCCGATGGGCAGCTCATGTCCCGGCCTCACCCCCACAGCTCAGGACATATAACAAAGGGAGGAAATCAAGCTGAAAGAGGGAATGCTAGATGAAGCAGCTGGGGGAGGGAATCTGTAGAAGATCACAGACTGAGACCCTCGCTGCCAACCTGCTGAAAACTGCACTCTCGCTCTCTCTCATGCATATCACCCTGTAATGCCTCCACCTTGTGTCCACAGTGGAGCATTACAATTATCATATTCAGAGTGACCATATTTGACCTACATGACCAATATATTTGTTTACAAGTATACTAAATGAAAATACTTTGAAGAATTTTGGTAACCAAACAGTTTGCTGGTAGCCACTGACTTTCATAGTATGGAAAAAAATACCATGGAAGTCAATGGCTATGAGCAACGGTTTGGTTACCAACATTCTTCAAAACATCTTTTGTGTTCAGCAGAATAAAGAAATACATACAGGTTTGGAACAACATGAGGGTGAGTATATGATGACAGTTTTTGGGTGAATCCTTTATCCCTTTATCTAAGATGAATAAATGCTTAAATAAATAAATGGGTGTACAAATATAAAAATATATTGTTGCACAATGCATTCCATTTCACATACTATTATTTTAAAATGGCATGCAGTATATAAATAAATAAACTTAAACTTGAATATAATACTGTGTAGTATGCAGTAGTAATGTTGGTATTACATTACAAACACTGGTTGTGAAAAACTGGCAAAAGCGTTATCATTTAATCTGTGCTAACACTTATGAGAGATGGCATGTGATCACAGGATGCTGTAGAGGTTCAGATCAGGAACACATGATGCGGTGTAATAATAAGCCATGCTGAGCTGATCTATGAATTATGAATAAGCTCTGAGCAGCTCCACTTACTACACACAGACCTGCAGCAACACAGCATGTACATGACAGACGCATGCTAACATTAACATAACTAAAAACACCTGCTGTAATGCAGCGCTTCAATTGCAACTTCAGTTCAAAAGGTTACAAAATGGCAAGTTTTTTAATGTTTTACTACTGCAAAATCATAATATACACTACCGTCCAAACGTTTGGGTTCTGTAAGATTTATTTCTTTTTTTAAGAAATATTTTTATTCAGCAAGGATGCACCAAATCGATCAAAAGTAACAGTAAACACATTACAAAAGATTAGTTTTAAAATCATGATAAAAATGGTTTCTGCAAAACTAAGCAGCACAACTATTTTCAACATTGATAATAATAATAAATGTTTCTTGAGCAGCAAATCAGCATATTAGAGTGATTTCTGAAAGATCGTGTGACACTGAAGACTATTCTAATGAAGTAATGATGCTGAAAATGCAGTTTTACATCACAGAAATAAATTACATTTTCAAATATATTCAAATAGAAAACAGTTAGTTTAAATTGTAAAAATGTCATAATATTAAACTTTTATTGTATTATTGATCAAATAAATGCAGCCTTGGTGAGACTATAAAAAATACTTTAAAAAGACCTTACCAACTATAAACGTTTAAATGCTAGTGTATGCAGAAAACATTTTAATTAATGTTTTATTTCCTAATATAATATATATATATATATATATATATATATATATATATATATATATATATAT